CGCGAAAATCGGGAGGGTTGGCAAGACACACACACACACACACACACACACACATACACACAATGTTCGTATTTTGTCTCCTGATTTGAAATGGGAAATTCAATAATTTCAGTGATCCCAAAGCACCAGTGTTCTGCAGTTTGTGTGGGCCTACTGTACTATTGCACAGTTTTGGAAGATTCATAGCTAACCACACTGAAGATTATGGATTATCTCATATTTTTAAGCCTCAATTTGTTTTCCCTCCCCCCCCCACTCTAACATCACCAAAAGTCAAAATGTAAGGGGTCATTTCTCAAAAGATTCTTCTGGGCCGCCACTGCTTAAATCACTGACTGTGTTCACCAGCAGCTACTACACACTCCTGACGCTCCGGTTTTTATTCTAGGGGACTTCAATCATTGCAAACTTGAACTGTCACTACCCGGTTTTCAACAATACGTTACATGTGAGACCCGGGAGGATAAAATTCTAGACAAATGTTACGGAAATGTGAACAACGCATAGTGAGTAGAGCCANTTACTATTTTTCCTTTTTTTTGGCTAACTGCTCGGATAGATGGAAGAGAGCACCCGGAGTTCAGCAGCGGGAGGCTGTGTTGTCGGAGGCGCGCCAGATCATCTGGCGCGCCTCCGACAACACAGCCTCCCGCTGCTGAACTCCGGGTGCTCTCTTCCATCTATCCGAGCAGTTAGCCAAAAAAAAGGAAAAATAGTAATAATTCCGACTCGAACGGATCTGCTGGGCCCATTTCTTGGTCGGTTCGTACTGTCACGGTTTGTGAAACAAGCAGGACCCAAATGCAGATACAAACTGAAAATTCCTTTATTTCAAGGCTATGATATATATGTACAATGACAAAACAGAACACTCACCGCAGAACTAGTCAGGGAACAAGACGAACCGACCAAGACAGACAGACAACCCAGAACTTAAATACACACAAGACTCAATCACACAACAAGACACAGGTGAGGAGGGAGGAGAAAACACAGGGGCCCAGGTGAACATAATCAGACAACTAGACACACCAGGGAAACTAATGACAAGACAATAACCCAAAGGAAAACATGACATGGAAAACAGCAAAAATACCCAAACCTACAAAACAATAAACGTGACATAACATGAGAATCGTGACACTAAATCCTCTCTGGGTTCGGAACAAGATTTTACGTTTGTGCTTCCCCTCGATTTATTTGCAAATTTTCCGCACAGTTTGCACATGTTCTTAAGTGTCCTCTTTGATACTTAATTATGATCAGACAGCTATGTTTTTGTGAAGATTTATGTCGAGGACTTGTCCTGAACACAGCAATGTAAAAAGAGTTTCGGCAGATATAGACACAAAATATGTCGTAAAGGGGGAATGACTTTGTAGGATACAGTACGAGGATACACTGCTCATGTTTCAGGGAATAAGAGATTTACATAAAAATGTAGTTTTAAACTGTAAGATGTTCAATAGCTTAGCATCCTGTTAACCCCTGCCTCCCAGACTCTAATGTGAGTGTCTTTATACCTCAGAGAGGGATTCCCCTACTGGCTATCAGGATGGGCCTCCTGACCCCCCCTCCACCAGACTTTACGTCTGCATGAGAGCACATGGCTACACGCCTAAAATGTAAACACACGAGCCAACGGCACACCACATCTGCTTCTGACGTTTGCCTGTCTCCCACACTCCAGACACCTCCAGACACAGCGTCCCCCTGCGACCGCCGTGATGCAGACATCCCTCTGTAGCCATAGAAACAACAGTGAGCCATGGGGTGTGGGTTGGTGGCCCGGCGGCCTGCGGTGGGCTGCACGGCTGGCTGGTTGGCGCGTTGTCTTGCTGGCTGATCACCGCAGCCCTGGTGTGATGTCTGTTGCCATCGCGCTCTTCACTTCAGCCAGAGAGGAGCTGAGTATTCCTGAGTCTATAGGCTGATTCCCGCCCGGTCCACCCCTCCCCCCCCACCCCAAGCCAAACCTACACAAACACAGTGCCAGCCAATCTCAACCCAACTCAGACAAACTCTGTCTCAATCAAAATCCAACTGAGCGTAACTGTGTGCAGCCGAGCCCACCACACTCCACCCTGCCCCAACCCAACATCTGATATATAATCCCTGAGACATCTCTTCACCAGCACTCTCCCACACAGCAAAACAGTGGAAGAAATCATCATAATTGTAGGTGGCAGGATCACCCTGTGGGTAGAGGGGGCGTCTCGTATCTCAAAGGTCAAACACTTGATCGTATCGACAACTGATCCGTCTGTCAGAATCTCAACCACAGAGTGTTGCTGTAACTGCGGACAAAAGCGCTAGC